AAGTAAGCAATATTTTTAATCATTTCCAACCTACAAATCAGGGAACAACTCTATTAATTTGCTAAATGTACAATATAAAATTAACAAATAATTAATAATAAAATAATAATATTTCAAAAGCTTCTCTTTGTATGGCGCGATTTTTATTTTAATGATTTAAAATAAAAATCTATACAGAAAATTTTCATTCACACTTGTATTTACGTCACCCAGATAGCACTAAACATCTCAAGGACGTCCATTTTATGTCCAATTCACGTTCGCACGTTCATGAACATAAAATGGACGTCCTTGAGATGTCCGTCATACGGATGTCCTATTCGGAACATCCTATGGATGTCCACATTTGGATTTTACTTTTATAATATGTTTTTTTCATATTTTCATTATATTCTTATTATTTACAATAATCATTTGTTGAGATCTGCTGCTAATCTATTATAATTAACATTTTAATAATATAATTAAAATCTCATCCTGAAAATTTAATTAAGTTTGACATGGCGCATCCTACGATTGGGCTCAGCCCGTTCGCGCCAATTAATATAGTCGCTTTAGACTGGATTCTCATGGATAGGATCCAGCCTGCCATATCATATTAATAATTACCTAAATAAAATTAGTTAATTCCACAAAACTGTAATTTTTATTTTTATGAAATACCCAATACTTTTAAATATTTTTAATCAAATTTAAAATTGAAGACGCACTTGCTGCAATATTGGATTAATTCACATTTGGTGAAAGCGGAAAAAATAAATAAGACAGTCAGAGGATGATATAGCATATATTCCAATAAATACGTATTATCATATACTACATGGGCTGAAAAGTCCCGGAATTTTTCAATAGGTGGCGCTACTAGAAAATGAACATGACTCATTTTGAGAGGCTCACCTGTCACTAGTTTATGTATGAAGTTTCATGACATTTCGTCCATTCGTTTACAAGCTACAGTCGTTTGAGTGACGCTACTTTCGCTTTCGTAAAAAAAATGGAAAAACAAGAATATCGCATCTTGATCAAACATTGTTTTTTGATAGGAAAAACTTCTGAACAATCATTGCAATGGTTGCAGAAATGTTATCCCACATCTGCTCCTTCGAGAACAACAGTTTATCGGTGGTTTAGTGAATTTGAAATGGGTCGTATAAGCACCGAAGACGCACCTCACTCTGGAAGGCCAAAAGAGGCTACGAATGCGGAAATCGTAAAGCAAATGCTTCGAATCGAATCGTTTTGAGTGATCGTAAAGTGAAGTTGCGCGAGTTAGCTGAGGCCGTGGGCATCTCAAAAGAACGGGTGGGATACATTTTGCACGATCTTTTGGAGATGAAAAAGCTATCGGCGCGATGGGTGCCGCATTTGCTGACCGTCGACCAAAAACAGCAGCGCGTTGATGATTCAACGGCCGGTTTGGCGTTGTTGCAGCGTAATCGAGCGGACTTTTTTCGACGTTTTGTGA